ACCTATCTAGCCTACAACATATAGAAATATATGTTGACATACCCCCTAGGCTAGACAAGAGGCGGTGCCTAGCAAGAGACACGCAGATCAGGATGGCACTACTAGTCCAACCTCTAAGGCAAGGGTATGAAGACCACTCACAAGAGTACAAACAAGACAAGAGCAAACCAGGGCGGCACTACTAGTCCGGCCACTGGAGCAAAAGCCACAAGGCCTGTCAGGCGAATATAATAAGAGTAGTACACAATCAAGGTCCTAGCAAGTGAGGAGCTACTGGAACTAGACCAAGCTGTACACAGTGCCGCTGATGATCTTTAGGTGCAAGCACCTTAGTAAAGATATCAGCTGTGTTGGCACTGGAGGCCAAGTGAACTACGCGGGCCTGGCATCGTTGCTGCAGCTCGCGCAGGAGGAAGTACCGCAGCTGGATGTGCTTCGCTCTGCCCTCCAGTCGAGGCTCTTGACACAGGAGGATCATGGCCGTGTTGTCAGCGTACAGGACCGGGGTAGAGCTAGGCCGCTCACCTAAGTCTGTGAGCAGGAATGTCAGGCAGCGGAGGTCCTGTGCCACCATGGCAACAGTGTAGATCTCGGCCTCGTATCTAGACTGTGCAACAGACGATGAGCGGGTGGACCTCCACAAGACAGCGCCTGCACCAAGGCTAAAACAGTACCCCTGAGAGGACCTGAGCGTCTCAGCGTCGTAGGCCCACGAAGCGTCTATGTGCCCTGTCAAAACCACTGGCCTGTGTCCTCCTAGCACTAGCCCCACGCCCGAGGTACTTGCTAGATAACGCAAAACCCTCTTAGATGCCGACCAGTGCTGTGGTCAATGTCTGCCTGTGGCCAAAGTGAGCCAGGATGCTGAGAGGGTGTGCGAGATCTGGACCAATGTAAGTTATCACGTATGTGAGGCAACCCACCAACTCTACATACCGACCACCTGGCTCTACCGACTCCTCAGGGTCTGGAGCCGAGAGCCTGTGATCTACTGGCAGAGGTGTGGGCTGCGTGGAGGAGAACTGAGGACCGAACCTCTGAAGGACTTGGCGCACGAAGTGTGACCGTGTGAGAGTGATGGTGCGCGCTGCTCTGTCCCTGGCGATCTGCAGCCCAAGGTAGCGGCGCAGCTCTCCTAGGTCAGTGCAGGTGTGTCTCCTCAGCAGCTTAGTCTTCAACGAGGCCAGAGCGTCTCTGTCTGCAGTAGCAAAGACCAGGTCGTCTTTGTAGTCAAGGACCTAGAAAGGAGTCTGTCGTGACCGGCAAAGAGTGAAGGGTCTAGAGACGACGGGAAGAACTGTAAGTCGGCTAACGTAGCACGCAGCATGTCGTGCCACTCACAGGGCGCCTGTCGCAAGCCATAAACTGGGCGCCGGAGGAGCCACTCGGTACTAGGAGCGAAGGAGCCGGTGAACCCCGGCGGACGGCGCATGTAGACCTGCTCATGCAGACTGCCCTAGAGAAACGCTGTGGAGAAGTCCAGAGAGTGCAGCATATAGTCACGCTAAGCTGGTATGTGTAGCAGCGCCCGAAGAGTGGTCGTATTTGGGGTTAGGGCGAAGGTCTGAAAGAATTTTACATCCTCGCGCTGACTGAAGCCTCTAGCCATGTAGCGCGCCTAGAATACCGGCGGCTCTCCAGGAGGGCGCTTCACCTTGAAGAGCCACCAGCCATTGACTACGTTCACCCCAGATGGGGGAACTGCGTCGACGTAGGTGCCGGTGGATCTGCAAGATGCCATCTCCTGCTCCATGGCAGCTATCCACTGAGAGGCCCAAGGTCCCGAGATCACCTCAGCGTAAGTGCGAGGGGTCAGGATGTCAAAGGCGTTTGGGTCACCCTCAGGGACTAACTGCTTGGAGCAGAGATGAGGCGCGACCTCGGGCAGGAAAGCAAGCTTGTACTGCCGGTCCTCCAGGGCGTCACTACCGAGGGCAGGAGCATCCCCGATGGACGGAGGACGGGCAGGGTCAGAGACCAGAGCAGTGGCATAGTCAAGGCAGCGGGTAGAGGCAAAGTCAGCGATGGCAGCGACAAGAACGTCAAGACTCGAGACAGGAATAGACGAGTCGGTAACGAGGGAGGCAAGGACTCGAGGAACAAGAGGACTAGCGGCATGAAGTTAGTTAGACAGAGGAGGCGGAGCAACAACAAGCGACGACGGAGGAGAGGACGGGAGGAGGGGAAAACGAGACGCCCGGAAATGGAGCAACATAGGGTGAGAGCGCTAAACAGAAGAGACAGGACGCGCACGAGAGGGACGGCAAGATTAGAAGTGGGATGGAGGCGTCAGGTCAGGAGACACAGGAGGAGACACAGGAGGAGAACGAGGGGGGATACGAGTCGGAGACAAGTTCGGCAGCGGAAACACAGGGCCGTAGATAGGCAGAGGAGGCAGCTGCAGGGGAGGCGCAGGTGGGTGGTCAGGGGAGGGAAGACCGAGGAGGCAAAGGGCGGACACCGGCGTTGAGTTCTGCTGCTGCTGCTGTTCTACGCCGAAACCTGAACCTCCAGGTGCACCACGGTTGCCTCCGGGACTCTCCACACCAACTCCCCCAGAACGAGAACCCTCTCCAGCACCGGTGCCACCCCCAGGACCGCTAGGACAAGCCACGACAGTAACCCCAGGACTAGCACCCTGCTCAACGCCCACACCCCCAGAGTTGGCGAACGCCTGCGGTAGCTGTTGCTGCGACGGCGGCAACTGCGGCTGTTGCTGCGGCTGCGACGGCGGCGATAGCTGCTGCTTTGGCGACGGCGGAGGAGGAGACACTGGGGCGGATACAGGCGGCGAGAACGGTGCCGCGGGGCCACCTGAGTCAGCAGACTCCTCGACCGGGACAGCCGACGGGAGGGGAGTGACGTGAGACAAACCAGACGGGGCAGGACGGTGGAAGAGGAGCAAGGGCTACCGGGGGAGTGGGAACCAGAAACCGGGAGACCTCGGTGGGGAAAGCGGTGGTAGAAGGAGACAAACTAATCAAAAGTGGCGTTACGCGAGTGAAAGAAGCGGTGAGGCGGCGGGTGGTAAAAGTGCCAGTCAGACCCATCGAGGGGGAAACCAAGGAAGACACAGGGCACAGTGCGGGGTGACGGGGCTGGCACGGCGTGACGGGGCCGGCGCGGCGTGACGGGGTCGGTGCTGTCTAGCAGGGCCGGCGCGGCGGGACGGGGCCGGCGCGGTCTAACGGGGCCGGCGCGAGGTGACGGGGCCGGCGCAGAGTGACCGGTCCGGCGCGGCGTGACAGGGCCAGCGCGGCGTGACAGGGCCAGCACGACGTGACAGGGCCGCCGCGGCGTGACGGGGCCCGCGTGACGAGGCCGGCGCGGCGTGACGGGGCTGGCACGGTCTAGCAAGGAACGCGGCGTGACGGGGGCCGGCGCGGCGGGACGGGGCCAGCGCGGCGTGACGGGGTGCAGGCTAGAGTGCGGTCTAAGGCTAGGGCGGAAGCGTAGGCGGGGAAGGGGACCTAACCTAGCGTGATACCATGTTAGAATAACGCAATGAACTAGATCGTGCCATACAGGGAGGTTTTGTGCTATGGTGTTGTACCCTCTGTGAGCATGCACCTATCTAGTCTATAACATATAGAAATGTATGTTGATAGTTTGTTGCAAAACTTCCCTGTCTCATCAGGGTCACCCCCGGAAAAAGTCATGATTTTACCCTGAATCAAGGTAAAAAGCGTGCAATCTGAAGCCATGGGTAGTACGGTTACTGTCGATGACGAAGGGTTCACCAAAGTTGTATTTGGTCGGCGTTGACGCACTGGCAATGCGAGATGAGTCGTGGCTGTGGGTATTTACGAATTAAAATACAGAGACAACAGATCTGCAGAAAGCGTAGGGTGTCCACCCCCTAAACAACAGTATCGGAACATAAAGAATGCAAGGCTGAGGATTGTTGGCTCTGATAGCCAGGTCTTATGAGGCACAAACAACAAGTGTCGAATATAGGTAGTGGCGAGGAAAACATTACAATGAGGCAACATCAGAACATCCGAGAGCATGAGTGTAGCTAGGCTTGGTTGGAGGACACTGTCGAGGCTCGGCAGAGTTGGGACGTATGGCTACAAGATGGCGTGGAGTGCGCATATTCATGCATGAGTACGTAAAGTTAACGAAATGGATGCGGCTCCTAAGAGGGCCACACTTGGGTGATGCGGTTTGATTTTTGTGGCAGAGCTGCGCGGCAACCTGTTATGGCAGTGTACGCTTTACTTATGCTCTACCGACTAAATCACGGGATAAGGAAATCCCATTCCCTTACACGTGCTGTGAGTAGTAGTAACAGTCGTGGGGTAAACAAAACTCAGGATTTCGCAAACGAGGGTCGCTACGATTTCGCATGGCATCCAGCATCCGCTTGGAGATTTTGGACGAGCGCGGATGTTTTCCAGATACCGCGGCACGGCTCGAAAGTTTGAATTTGATGAGTGAAAGGCATACGCTAACCTGTGTCAGAGCCTGTCAGACACTCGTGCTTTGCCTTCACTCGGGGAAGCCCCAGGACGTGGTTTGCACCACCTGCACGAGGCTGGTTCCGAGGCTACGGTCTTGGCACGAAGCGCTGTTTTTCCAATTGCCTTGCAACCATGGCAGACTGGAAGGTCCGGTGTGTGGGTGAGTGCTCCTGCTGGTTTTGAAATGCGAGCGGACGTGCGCAACGTTTGGTTGAGGGCGTAACTGCTGGGCGGCTAACTGGCCCACTGGAGCTGGAGCTGGGCCACTTCGAGTGCCCTGCGGTGTGAATTACGTGACGCTAGGAAATTGAGGGGCCAGTTCGTGAGTAATGTGACGAGAGGAGAGGCCTCTCAACTCAAGCCACAGGGTGTGATGTGGGTGGGTGGGTGCGTCAAGAGAACCGACCGACCGCCACTTTAGTTGCTGGCGACCGGCATGAACAGCGATGAGCACGCGAGCACCCATGCTGAAGCATCACCTTCACCTTGTTGACTGGGGACTTTCGAAGCGACAAGTCGAGGTGAAAATGGCTCGACCGCTACTAGGGAAGAAAGAGAGAGAGAGCCGTGCAGGTGGGTGCAGCAGACCAAGATTGACCGACAGAGGTAGCTGTGCTTCGAGTGAGGCAAGTAGCTATTGAGCGACCGCCATAGCTTTTAGGTTATCGCAGAAAGGGAATATCGCTTCGCCTTGTCTTACCCCGTAGCAGCCTTGCTCTTGTCCGCGCTGTGTAGCAGGCAGGCTCATCACTTAGACCAGGACGCCTCGTACGGCGGCACATACGGCCGTAGCAGAGCCACCAGCTGTAGACTAGCAGCAGCATGCAAGGCGCCGCAATTCTCGCAAGGACAGCAGGTGCTCGATTCTCTAGAACCAACCCTACCCGCTTGACACGTCCCGCGGAGCATCGCCAAGTTAGATAAACCCCGACACACTCGCCCGTCCACTCCACTCTCGTTTCAACACCACGCCGCATGCGGCGTCGCGTTGTTAGCTCCCACTCGACCCACTCCATCATTACCCGCCTATCCCTCCTAACCCCGTTGGTAATCGCCGTCGTTAGCAGCGCCCAAGTCGCATCATGACGGTGCCCAAGTCGCTCCAGGACCGAATCAGGTCCATGGATTCGCTCACGTCGCCTAGCGAGATGGCGGCAGCTCTGCGCGCTGCCCGACGGGGCGCCGCGGGGAGACCCGCCGGTGGCAGCAGCAGCAGCAGCAGGCCCAGCAGCGGCGGCAGCAGTGCGGGGAAGCCCCCCAGCACCAGCAACAGCAACAGCAACAGCAATAGCAATAGCACCAGCAGCGACAGACACAACAGGAGCAGTTTTGAGGCGCGCGAACGACGAGTCGACCCGAGGCACGCTGGTCCGCCACGCGCCTTACCGTCGCGGAGCTCTCGCCCGAACGCGGAGCCGCCGAGCGCCCGACACGCCATGAGACCTGCCGCCGAGGGGGAACACGGGGGCGGGGGAGGACGACGAGACGGAGATGGAGGGAGAGAAGGAGGTAGAGAAGGAAATAGAGGAGGGAGAGAAGGAGGGGGAAGGGAAATTCGAGACGCTAGTTCTAGAGATTGCGGTGGGAGGTTACAAGGAGAAGAACCAGTGGAGGCGTATATACCGGAGGTCGGAGAGGGCGGACGCACCACAGCATCTCGCAGCAGCAGAGCACGCCGCGCGGGCGGAGGCGGCGGAGGAGGCGGGAGCGGCGGCGGGAACGGCGGGAACGGCGGGAGCGGGGCGGGGCCGTGCGAGGTGCAGATGAGTATATCGAGCGGGTGTTCCGAGGTGGAGTCGGTGGGGGTCATGTCGGAGCCCGCGCTGCCGCCAATTCGCGACTTGTCTCCCCTCTCCGCTCGGCGCGCTTTGTCCACGTGTTCCTCTTCCGCCTTCCGCACCTACATCACCGCGCGCTTCCAGGACGCGCAGTCGCTGGGGCTCAACAGAGCGCCGCCGCCCGCGGAGCACCTGCTGCCCTCCGCCGCCAGCGACGCCAGCGGAAGCGGAAGCGGAGGCGGAAGCGGAACGGCGCAGCTGCTTCCCCGCCTCGTGATGTCCCGCGCGAGCGCGCAAGAAGGGTCGCGGGAAGATGGGGCGCGGAGACTGTCGCTGGACGTTTACTCGTCGAGGAGGCAGGTCGCAGAAGGCGGCGGCGAGACCGGCAATCGCGGCGGCGGCGGGGAGGCGGGCGCGATGGGTCTTCGGGACGACGAGCTGTCCGCAAAGTCCGGCCGCTTCTCGGGGCACATGGCGGCAATTCGCCGGCTGCAGAGCGTGCGCCGGGCCGACCTAGTTGCCGGCCTGCTGTCGGACGGCAACTGGCCGGCAGGTCTGGCTATGGACGACCGAGTGAAACTGGACCGCTTCGCCGCGCTTTTCCCGTCCCACTCCTACCGGAACTCCTCCTCCTCCTCCGCTTCGCTCTCCGCGTCCCTCGTCGCCGGTATCCCCGTCTTCTCCGTCTCCACCGCCGCGCAATGCGGCGGGAGGGGCAGGCGGGACAGCTATTCCAGCGAGGGGTGCCTGCTGAACTACTACGTCTTCCTGCAAATGCTGTTTCTCGACGTCTTCTGGGCGTCGCTCGCCTCTATGCTGCAGTCCTCCGTCTCCGCCACCAGTGCGATTGACGCCCTGATGGGCGCCGCCTGGGAAGCCGACACGCCTCGCGACGGCGACGGCTGCCGCAGCCCCTCGGCGACGACGACGGCGACGCCAGGCACTCCGAGAGCCCGCGTCACGCCGCGCTCCCCGCTCTTGCCGCCGGCGAGCCCGCGCGCGTCGCACGACCCCTTCCCGCCGTCGCCCAAGCTCTCCCCTTCCGCCGCCGCTTCCGCCGCCGCGCTCGCTCCAAGCGGCCCGGCGCTGCAGCGCGCCGCTGCGCTGGTCCCCCGCAGCAGCTGCCTGGGGAGCCTCGCGAGCGCGGCGCCGGGGGAGGGCGAGCGCAACCGGCGGCAGCAGCTGGCGCGGCGGTGGTTGGCCATGTGTCCGCCGGGCAGCGACGCGGTGGAGGAGGTGGTGGAGATCGTCGCGCGCGTCATCACGCGCCTGCGCGCCGACATCATCCTGGAAGCGGCGGCGGTCGCCGCCAGCGGCGGCGGCGGCGGCGGCGGGGGAGACGCTGGGTGGGAGGAGCGGGAGGCGGAGGCGGTGCGGCAGATTCATAAGCTGGGGTGCGAGGACGTGGACAGGCTGCTATGGGGGCTGGAACTGGGCCGCTCGAGCCGCGACGGCCAGCGCAAAAGCCACGACTCGGACGTTGTCCCGAAAGACGTTTCCAAGGTGGCTGAGCGTATAGTGAGTGTGCTTATAGAGGGCGCGAATGGCGGCCGGGGTGTGCAGGGGAGCCCGCGGGGAGCGGAGGGAGCGGGTTCTTCCGCCTCCGCTTCCGCCTCCGCCGGTGCCGCTGGCGCAACTGGTGGTTCCGCCAGGGAAGGGTTGCGGGGTGTGCTTCCCGCGCTAACGCTTGCGGCGGGGAGCCTAACGCGGAACCCATCGCAGGGGGACCTCAGGTCGTCGTCGTTCCTCGCGCTCGCCATAGGCGCGGGCACGGATGCGAAAGATGCGAAAGACGCGAAAAATGCGAAAGATGCGACGACTCCGCGAGAGAGTGGCGGAGGTCTCGGGCTCGGCGGGAGCAGAAGCGGGAGGTGGCGCGGGGGTCAGGCTGCGGAGAGGGAAAGAGATGGGCGAGACGGGCGAGATGACCCGTACGGCCGTGAGAATGGACGGTCGGAAGCAGGAGCTGGTTACCAGCCTCGCGACAGTGGCAGTTTCGCCGATAGTGTTGGGATGCCGAGAAGCGGGCGTGACGATGGCAGGCGGGATGAACCGAACGAACGGCGGGACAGAGACGAGCGGTCGGGGAGGTATGAGGGAGGGGGCAGGGGGAAGGGCGAGGAGCTCGGCATACGGGGCGCGGAGGAGGGGGGCCGGAACGACAGGCGCGAGGAGTCGAGGGGGGACCGGGACGCGGAGGCACGACGGGGGACGGGGAGGGACGATGCGCGAGAGCGGTGGGGGGGGAATGATGATGGTGACCGTTTGGGCGGCGGAAGGGGAGGGGCGGAAGGGGTGGGGGAGAGTGGGGAGCGCGGGAGCAGCAGTCGTCGGAGAGAGGAGAGGCGGGAGGCGGAGCGAGAGGCGAGGAGAGAGGCGGAGAGGGAGGAGCAGCAGCGGCAGCAGCGGCAGTGGCGGAGAGGCGACGACCCCGCAGCACTGACGGCTGATGCGTCCAAGCGCTTCGAGAAGACGCTGTTCGGCGGTGCGGGAGGAGGAGCGGGAGGAGGAGGGGGGCTATCCCGCCTTCGCTCGCTTTCCCCGCTGCGCTCCACCTCCCCGCATCGTCCCGTCCCGGCCGTTTCCCCAGTCTCCCCCTACCAATCCCCTCATACGGCCGCGCCGATGCCTCCATACCGTGCGCCAGAGGCGGCGCTCCCCCCCGCGCCGATGACTCCGCGCTCGCCCGTGGCTGGCGGAGACTCGGGCGCGCGGACTGCGGACGGCGGAAGGTGGGGCAGAGAGCAGCGGTGGCAGGAGATGGCGCAGCAGGAGATGAATCAGATCTCGCCGGGACGATTCCCGCCGGTATCTCCCCGCGCGCTTCCCCCGGGTTCCCCTTACTACCAACCCTCTGCTGCCTTGCAATCGCCGCGGACTGCGCCGATGTCCCCTCACGCGCTTTCCGCCTCCCCGCGCGCGCCAATGTCCCCGCTTGCTCCCAACTCCCCGTACATGGTAACTTCCCCACTTGCCTCCGTCCCGCCATCCCCGTACGCGCCAATGTCCCCATACGCTGCTCCCGCGCGCGGAGGGGTTTCCCCTGCTTCACCTGCCATTACACCTGCGCCGAAGCTGACCCCGCTGAAGCTACCGCCAGGAAGGTCGTTGACACAGCAGCCGCAGCAACCGCAGCAGCAGCAGCCTTCTAGCCCGTTGGCTGCAGAGCCCAAGCCAAGCCCTTTGGAAGCTAGGAAGCCGCCTGCACTGGATATGGCTGAACCACGCACGCCCACTGCTGCTGGCGTCGCCAGTCGCACTGCCGCCGCCGCCGCCGCTGCTGCTGCTCCGTGTAGCCCTGCTCCGCACTATTATCAACCTGGCGACTCGCCAAGGCACCCTGGTGCTGGTGCCCCTTGGGATGCGGGTCTGGGTGGTGGCTATAGGAGCCCAGCCAATGTGCCGGTTCCAGCTCAGTCCCCGTACCAGCGCAGCGTGTCACCGATTCACGGTGCAGCAGCAGCAGCGGTGGCAGCAGCAGCACCAGTGTCGCCTCGCCCCAGCGACAGCAACAAGAGCAGCTCCCTCTACCGGAGCTCGCCCACCCGGCATGAGAGGTTCAAGATGCTTTACCAGAAACAGAAGCAACAGAGGCCTGCAGCCAGACCTTCCCCCAGGTACACTCCATCCCAGGTTCCTCAACCAGCTCAGCAGCAGATGCCAGCCCGACCAGACGCGATTCCTCGCTGTGCAACACCTCCCCGAGAAACGCTAGCCAAGGTCAACAGCTTCCAGCCTTCCCCACTACTCTTGCCTACTGCACCGCCTCCCCGGTCTCCGTCACCGTGGTCTGCATCGCCTGCTGCTGCACCTGGTGCTGGCAGGTCGCCTCAGCCCAGGAGATCCCAGGCGTCCTCTGTTCAGGTTCCTGCGTCTCCACTCCGCCCGCCAGCTCCCAACCTGCCAGACTTTGAGCCGCTGGATGCGCTGGGCTCCCCACGGGACATGCTTCCCCCATCCGTATCACCATTTCAGAAGGGGTACCAGGCAGACTTTCGCAGCGTTTCCCCTCCTCCGCGGGGTTCCTTGCTGGCCTCGACTCCTCGCAAGTACCCGGAGGATCTCGGTAAGGGAGGAGGAGCAGGTGACGCCAATCTGTTGCCGCTGCATGCATACTCGGCACGGAGAGCTCATGCCTCTCCTCTGCAAGAGGCTTCTAGGTGGAACAATGTTGACTCTCAACCGGGCAAAGAATCGTCTTGGGATGCAGCAGACAAGGGTGAGGAAGTCAGCCGGTCAACGTCTAAAGTGGAAGCTGACGCGCATGCAGGAAGGGCATCGCCATTGAGGAGCTCCCGAAGCTGGCGACAGCTCATTCCATCCCTTGGGAAGATTCGAGGGGCTTCACCTCGGCGATTGGCTGATCCGGATGAGATCCCGCCGGTTGAGCCAGATGTGAAGTTCCAGCAGGTGCAGCAGTGGCTGTGGAGCCAGCCAGACAACCCCGGTGAAGACGAGGAGGACGACTGGAAGGCACAGGAAAGGGCAGTTGAGACATCTGAAGCTTCTCAAACTTCACCTGGAGAGCAGCCTGAAGTAAGTAGCACAAGGGCAGGTGGTGGTCACAGAGGCACGTTTGATGCGGAGGAAAGGAGACGGAAGGGATTGGACATTTCTCGTCTCACTTATGATGTTGACGAGCCGGAGAATGATCTTGCTCGCGGATCTCTCAGGGTAGCAGCTATAAGCACCAGCAAGGTGATGCAAGACAGGGCTAATAATGGGGCTTTGAGTCCTGAAGTGAGCCCGCGAGCTGGAGCAGGGACTGGGTGGAAGAAGGTGATGGGGCTTGGCTCTTCAAACAGGAGCCCGGAGCGTGTCAGAAAAACAGGACCTGGCAGGCTTGTAACAGCCCACGATTCTGGCAGAGTGGAGAATAAGGCTGAGCAGTACAGGCTCTTTCGAGCGGGATCTCCCCTGAAGGCTGTCCTTCGACGTGGTGCACCTTGATCATATGCTCTTCTGACACTCAATTGTAACTGGTTACCACACTAAATGACATGTGGATGCATACTCTAAGCTCCTCCTAACATGCCCCAGAATACAGCAAGCCTGCAATATTGCTCAAGGTCCCTAACTTGAGCTTGCAGTGTAGCCCAAGTAGACCTGTGAGATCCCTCTCTGGTGTGCTGGATGAATGCAACTTCTCGATGGAGTCCTGGATACAAGTAGTGATCTTGTCTGTGTAGACAGCAAACAGCAGGAGAGGCGACTTCTTTCTTTGAATCTGCTGCTGTAGGTGATGGAACGATACGATCCACTCTAGGAGCATATCTGCATTGCAGCAAGTGAATAGTCAATTGCAAAGCACCAATAAGAGCGAGAGAGACGGAGGAAGTGAGGGAGGAAGAGAAGGGAAGAAAGCGGGCAAGAATATGTGCAAAGGACAGGAAATGGCAGAGGACGAAGTAAGAGCCGGAGGGGGATACGAGTGCCATGTGCATGTGTGCACTTGTGCGAGCGTCTGTGTAAATGTGCATGCGGATGCGCGCTTGTGTGTGTGAGGGGAGGGGAGGGGGGGGGGGAGGAAGACAGTGAAGTTTAGGAAGGGAAGGGAAAGGCATGGGGAAAGGAGAGCAAATGCTGTGGGGAGAGTTGGATGTGTGTCTGGGGGACACAGGGGGGGGTGTTGAAGAGTCGGTATGAGGTCCAAGCGGGAGCTTACCGCTGTCAAGCTGAGTAGCAGAAGTCCAGCTGGACAGATTGCATGATACAATATTGAAGACAAGTAGTAGCCTGTAAAGCACCAGAAAAGCACCAGAAGGTCTCATCGCATGGTTCACCTTAAAAAAGCCAAGCACAGAGCCAAACTTACAGAGCTCCACATCTTTCTGTAGCAATCGCTTTCTCCAAGTTCCATGAGCCAGAGTGCACCAGATTGAACTCCTTCTGTAGTCCATGGGTTAACATGCCCAGCAACAGTTGTCCTATAAATGGTTCTTCGGCAAGTTCAAGGATGACGCTTTCAATTGCTTCACAACAGGACCAGCCGTCCGCCGCTGAAATGCCAATTTCGTGTGCAATAAGCAAACGCAATTGAATGGTGAGCAAACAGCGAAAACTTGATTGGCAGTCCACTCTCGACAGACCTTTTGTTGGTTCCAGCAGCATGTCCAGCACAGAAGTAAGGAACTCGGCGACAGGTCCAGATAGTTCACTGGCCTTTCCTTCATGCCGAAGAACTCCTGTGAAGAACGTTGTCAGACGGATGCAACTCTTGGAATAGAGAAAAAAATAAAAAGGGAAACTCACCTTTGACAAACGAAATGGCTTCGGTTATGTACGTTTGTTCTGGACTGTCCATCTTGCAGTTCGGAATCACAGGTGTTAGCGCAGGTGTTAGTCTCTTTGCCTCTGGCGAATTTCCTATATTTACCATGCTCGATAGGCGTACCTTAACTGGAAAATCAGCAATTAGGTCTGCAGCAAATCTCAGAACGTGGATAATCCATCCTCGGTCATCAGTGACACTGGGCCAGATGGACGATGACCCTGCAGGCTCAACATAGTTAACTCCGCGATAGAACCAGCGGACTGTCACTTGACCAGACATAAGCAGCCTTGTTATAATACCCACCTGTGCCCGAGTCCTTCAGTCTCCTTATGCTCGACACAAGTTGAACTGCATGACAATCGTCTTCAGAGAATTCACTGGAAAATAGGAATTGAGTAGAATAGACCACGAAGAAGACCTCACCGTGCTTGAAAAGGACCACTTTAGGATCTTCCGAGTTTATCAGTTCCCCTTGATACTTTACGGGCTCATTTACATTGGGCGTCTCCCTCTGCCTTTTTATCACCGAATTCTGAAGCTCTGGCGATAGTTTCTGCAGAACGGAGGGGCCTGCGCCAATGCACGTCTTCAGAAGGGAGTTCAGAAAGATATCAGGCACTTGCCGGAGAATTCACTTACAGTCACCAAGATCTCCCAAAACCCGGGTGTATTGTTGCAACGTGACTTCAAGCTCTTCAATCTGCAATACGCGATGTTAGTGATTGTTTTTCGCCACGCTAATGCTTCTTCGACCTTGAAACTCGCCTTTCGTTTCAGACTTCCCACTTGAAATGAGTTCGCCTCTGATTGCCTAGCCTTGACGACGGCGAGGGCCAAAGCCAGCCTAAAATCGTTGTTCGTTGATGCCATTGCGCTGGCGGCGCAGCACGCGTTCAAGAGTCTTTTGAGGAATGTCAGAGACAGCCTTGGTGACAGGAACAGGTGGGATTCCTTGAAGTTAGCTGACTGGTGAATTCCTCATCCTCTGAGTTTCCCCATTTTGATCTCTAAACGCGTACATTTCTTCCATCTTGTTGTCGAGTTTGAAAAATGCGTCGTCTACAGTAAACATTTTCACTAGCACCAACAAGCACTTTTTACTCCCCTGCGGCACTTCGCTCTCTCTCACCCCCCTTCCGCCAGGTCAAACAAACCTCTCACCTTCGCCCCGCACCACCACCACCATCACCGCCGCTCATCTCGCCGCGCAGCCCCGTGATCTCTCTCTCGACAGCCTTAGCGACCATTATCGTATTCGTAATCGCCATCCGCCATCCCGAGATCATATCGACAAGTCAATATGGTGCTCGCTCATCTTCGCGCGGCCGCGGGTGCGATTCGTCAAAACGGTCTGCTTGGAGCGCTGAAGCAGGCTTATCATGAGGGATACGCGTACGCCCCCATTTTTAGTGCCTTTTTTTTTCGTTACATTGGCACAGTTTATCCGATCTTCCGGTCTTGTTCCTGTTGATGTTCTTGAGCCATCCCACCGCTTCCACGTCTCTCCTTTCTTGTTGCCTACACACTTGGAAGTCAGAAAGTTCCAACTCCGCGGGCTCCAGACCGCCTTGTTTTTTTCCGTCGAAACCCCGTTGTTCGCGTTTCCCCTTTCCCCTCCATGTGTGGCTGGGACTATGCCATCGTCTGGCGATTACTTGGCACCACCCTATCAGCATGGCTCTCCTAGACGGCAACCTCTTGTCAGTCATCTCCTTCCCTGCCCTCGTTATTCCCGCCTTCCCCTCCATCAGCCTTTCCTAGTCTTCCCTTAGTCGCTTCGCTTTTCTTGTTTCCAACATCGGTTGCGTAGGGAGTGAGAGCGATAGAGAGTGTTATATTTGGAACGGCATAGCTTGAGGGCAGAAAAGCAGTACAGCGCGAGGTGTTCGGGATCCATCCTTCGTTTTCGCCTCTCTTGCTCCACAGGCCAGTTCCCCCTTAACCAGTTATGGCTCCGTACTTTTGTTCACTCATGAATGCCTCTGCCTTTTGGTGGGTGGGTGGGTGGGGGCCCTGTGAATGCGTCGGGGGTGCATGGAGGGAGGGAGTGCGGACGGTTACGTGTTCATGCATGGATTATTCCTCCATCTCCTTACAGCGAAACGAAGCGCCGAGCCTTGGGGTCCCGCCTTGTGGGTATGGATTCCCACGGCAACAAGTACTACGAGCGCATGGATGCACAAGCAGGTAAGCTATCGTGGTCAGTCAAGCAATCAAGCTCGGCCATGCACTAGTACTCTTGTATTGTGCAGCTAAGCTGCCTTGGCCCTGCAAAAGCTGTGTGTTATCTTCACTTTTGAGTCCCTTCAGCCTGCTTCTCCTGAGCTTTCCTGTCTATCTATCTAGCCATCCATCCTACGCATCTGTATCAATCTCTATCTCGTCGCGTTTTTTTCTCTTACTACCTATCACTTCCGTTCTCCGTCGTCTCTCATGAACATTCATGTGCTGCCGGCTCTCACATACACCATTTGTGATTGGTGTCAGGTCGGCATCGATGGGTGGAGTACAAGGAGTCATGGGGCTACAACGCATCCACTGTGCCTCCTGAGTGGCATGGCTGGCTGCACCACATCACAGATGACCTACCTGATAAGGTAAATGGTCTTTCATGTTCACCATCACTCCTCTCTGCAGTTCCCTTCCTCCAGATTCCCCCCACAAATTGCTTTTATGTCTACTGTGTGCAAGTAATTTCTTTGAGTGCATCCAGCTGCTGATCCACACAGGTTCTTTCCCTCTTTCCTTGTGTTTTCCCCCTTGCCCCTATCCAGATTCTTGCTTTCAAGCCGCGCTACAGTATGGAGCACCGGGCCAATCTTACAGGGCATGGAGATGCCTTCATTTACCATGCCAAGGGCCACGCCCTGAACCCCAACCAGCGTGATTGGTCGCGTGTCCAGACCTGGCTTCCCGGCTCCCCTGATGAGACCAACAATCCTGCTGCACCATCAGCCCCTTCATCCGCTAAGGCATCAGACACACCTTCCAAGTCAGGGTAGGACTGCAGGAAAAGCATTGTGGGTGTGCCTGATGTTTCTTACTGAGTACATGTAACCTTTGCTATGGGAAGCTGGCTAGGTCCTTGATTTCTGCTATGTTTGTCTACGCTCCTGATTGCTTCCATGCCAAGGTGCTCAAATAGTAGACCTGCCTGGGGACCCTCCCAAAGGTTTTCGCAACTTGTCTCTAGCAACCACAATCCAGTGAACAACTGGTGAAAGTGCGACGATGCAAGTGTGGTGAGGGTTAGTGTTGGACAGAGGGCCTTGTCAAACATGTTTATCTACAATGTTTGTATAGACTGTATAGGGTCATCTCTGTCAAACGTGTGTAGTTATCATGTTTGTATAGACTGTATAGGGTCACCTCCTAGAGAGTACAACATTTAGGTATATGTTTGTGTACTCTCCCTCTCTATTTATCAAATTCACTGTTTGATATGGTATCACGCTTAGGTAGGATCCCCCCCCCCCCCCTCACGCTTCCGCGCGCCCCCTAGCTGGGCCCCGTCGTGCTCCTAGCCCCGTCGCGACCCTCCCTAGCACCGTCGCGCCCCTTCCTGGGCCCCGTCGCGCCCCTTTCTGGGCCCCGTAGCGCCCCTCCAGGGCCCCGTCGCGCTCCTCCCAGGCCCCGTAGCGCCCCTCCTGGGCCCCATTGCGCTCCTCCCAGGCCCCGTCGCGCCCCTACCTGGGCTTGGTAGCGCCCCTCCAGGCCCCGTTGCGCCCCTACCTGGGCTTGGTAGCGCCCCTCCAGGCCCCGTCGCGCCCCTCCCAAGCCCCGTCGCGCCCCTCCCACGCCCCGTCGCGCCCCTCCCAGGCCCCCCCCTCGCGCCCGTCCCAGGCCTCATTGCGCCCCTCCTGGGCCTGTAGCGCCCCTCCTGGGCCCGTAGCGCCCCTCCTGGGCCCGTAGCGCCCCTCCTGGGCCCGTAGCGCCCCTCCTGGGCCCGTAGTGCCCCTCCTGGGCCCGTAGCGCCCCTCCTGGGCCCGTAGCGCCCCTCCTGGGCCCGTAGCGCCCCTCCTGGGCCCGTAGCGCCCCTCCTGGGCCCGTAGCGCCCCTCCTGGGCCCGTCGCGCCCCTCCTGGGCCCTGCCGCGCTCCTCCCTGGGCCCCGTAGCCACCCTCCTGGGACCCGTCGCGCCCCTCCTGGGCCCCTGTCGTCCCCCCCCCCTGGGCCCCGTCGAGCCCCTCCTGGGCCCCGTCGCCCCTGCTCGGCCCCGTCGCCCCTGCTCGGCCCCGTCGCCCCTTGCTCGGCCCCGTCGCCCCTGCTTGGCCCCGTCGCCCCAGCTTGGCCCTGTCGCGGCCTCTCGGCCCCGTGGCGCCCGCCAGGCCCCTGTCGCAGCTGCCCGGCCCCTGTCGCACCTGCCCGGCCCCGTCACGCCCGCCCGGCCCCGTCGCCCCTGCCCGGCCCTGCTGTGTCCTGCCCGGCCCCGTCGCTGCCGCCCGGCCTTGTTGCTGCCGCCTGGCCCCGTCGCAGTCGCCCGGCCCCGTCGCAGCCGCCCGGCCCCGTCGCAGCCGCCCGGCCCCGTCGCTGCCGCCTGGCCCCGTCGCAGCCGCCCGGCCCCGTCGCAGCCGCCCGGCCCCGTCGCAGTCGCCCGGCCCCGTCTCAGCCGCCCGGCCCCGTCGCAGCCGCCCGGCCCCGTCGCAGCCGCCCGGCCCCGTCGCTGCCGCCTGGCCCCGTCGCAGCCGCCCGGCCCCGTCGCAGCCGCCCGGCCCCGTCGCAGTCGCCCGGCCCCGTCTCAGCCGCCCGGCCTCGTCGCTGCCGCCCGGCCCCGTCGCAGCCGCCTGGCCCCGTCGTGCCTGCCCGGCCTCGTCGCGCCTGCCCCGGCCCTCCATCCTTCCTGGTACTGTCCCCCGTTCCCCGCACCACTTTGCACCCTCCTGCACTTTCCTGCCCCGCCTTGCACCGCATTGCACCTCACTGGACCGCGCTGACCGCACTGCACCGCACTGGACCGCACTGCACCGCATTGCACCGCACTGCACCGCACTGGACCGCATTGCACCGCACTGCATCGCACTGCACCGCACTGCACCGCCCTGCACCGCACTGCACAGCACTACACCGCACTCCACTGTCCTCCACTGCCCCTCATGGCTGCTGAGCTTCGTTTTGATGCTGAGGGTCAGCCTCTGGAGTTCGAGGCGTGGTTGGCTGACCTTCGCCGCCACCTCACTGGCCAGCGGCAGGACGGCCACCCGCTTTCTGCACACCTAGACGGTATGCTCCCCTGCCCTGACCCCCCTGCTGTGCTGCCCGCTGATCCCACGCCCGCTGAGCGCGAGTCCACTGCCGCCGCTGCCCTTGCCCGCTCTGTCTGGCTTTCCCGCGATGCCCTTGCTCAGCTCGCCATTAGCAATGCCCTCCCCCCCCCTGAGCGCCCTCGCTTTAGAACCATTACTACCGCCAAGGCCTACCTTGATGCTGTCATCAAGCGCTATTCTACCCCTCCTGCTGCCTCAGTGGGTCGCCTGATCCTCCCCCTGCTCTTTCCTGACCTGGCGTCTTTCCCCACTGTCTCTGACCTCGCTGCCCACCTGCGCTCGATAGATGAGGCGTGGCGCGCTGCCTGCACTGATGCACAGCTTAGAGTCCACCAGCCTCCCATGACCTCTACCCTCTACCTCCTTGCCACCCGCCTACCTGACCGCCTTGCCGCCGCCCGCGACCAGTTCCTTAGCATCCACCCTGCTGCTCTCACCCTCACCGACTTTGTTGACACCCTGACTGCCATAGAGACTCGTCACCGCTCCATAGCCCAGGCGAGCGGTACAGTACCGGTCCCTATCTTCCAGGGTTGTGCCCCCGCTCAGTGTACCTTCTCCGACGGCTCTGTCGCTGTGGCTGAGACTGCTGCTGCAGTGCAGTCCCGCTCGGGGAAGGGCCGCCGCCCCAAGGTTGGGAGCGGCGGAGGCGGCGGGGGTGCGGGTGGGGGTAGTGGTGGAGGCGGGTCGTCCGGTGCCGGTGCGGACGTGGGGACCCTGCCCGGTCCAGCTGCCCCGCTGCCTCCACCGTTGCAGCAGCAGCAGCAGCAGCAGTCGCCGCAGTCGCAGCCTCCGCAGCAGCCGCAGCAGCCGCCTCAGACGAGGCCGGCGAGTGCTCTCCCGCCTGGGTGGCCTGGAGCTGGTGGTGGTCGTGCGCGTGGTGGTGCACCGGGTGGTGGTTCTGGAGGCGAGCCCTGTCAGTACCAGATCCAGACCGGTCCTCGCCGCGGCTTCGTTTGCGGTAAGATCGGTCATTCCACTCCTCGCTGTTTTCGTCGTCTGGACGACCTGTTCCGCCAGCGCTTTGGCCCGGCGCCCGACCTCCCGGACTGGCACAGCTTGCTTAGGCGTAGCATTAG